CCGGTTAAACACTATCTGATTTGTTTACGCGTCACACATCCATGTTCCAACAACTGATTTATCCGACTAATTGGTCATCAATTTCATACGTCGTCACATTCCAACGATTCGGTTGATCCTCGTTCGTGGACAAAACCCGTTCTCGTGTAAATTGGCACCTGGAAATTGTCACAAGTCAGAGACACGTGTGTTGATTTTCCCACAGAATTCTCACCGGCCAATAAAACCAAAACCAATACTTTGGTACCGGGTTAGACAATCGCTTTTTTTCTAAATCAAAATGATCCGGATTGCGCGTGGGCATTCAACGCATTGGTTATCAACGTCGACCCAAGGCCCCCGAAAAATTGTTTGATTCCTCTCCAAAACTTGACAAGTTACAGTCCCGATAGGGCGAAAACCTATACCTGAATCGGACCAGTCCCCAGACGAGGATGAAACAGATTGTTTGAGTGTAACGCAAATGTTCGCCTTAAACAACTATCCCATTCGCGATTGTTCAGAAACACCAGGCACTCTTGTTGGTCTTAGGTGTGGGTTTCACTCCTCGGGGAGCTCGGTAATCCCCCTTCACGAGGTAAATGCATTCAAATGCGTAGAAAATGTTCGTGTGATAACCGACAAAGTGCACTTGACAACTGTTTCGTCCGTTTTAGGATGTCTGTAATAATCGTAATAATAGTAGTACGCACTGAACACGAAATACGAATCACGGATTGCCAGTCACGGACAAGCATTGAACCACACTAGTACTTACACGACGGTGTCCCACGTAACCGAGACGCAAGGAAAAAACCACAGGAGTAGATGTTCATTTATGGAAAGAAATAATGGGGATTAAATAATGGGTAAGAAACAAACAAATTGGTCACCCAGGCCTCTGCCAAACGCGTTCTGGTAGTTTTGGGGTTTTCCAGCTTCTGTCTGAGCCGCACGGGTTCTTATTGGCTGGTACAATCGACCTGGCATGTATGCGCTTTGCTGACGTCAACCCAGGAAGCTTGATTGATCACAGTTGTCCGAAAACTGTAACGTGTCGCTCTATGATATGCTTCATCTCGCAGGTTAGGATCACCGCAGTCTCACATTACGGGCCATTTTTAATTACAGAGTAGACACAGATCACCATGTGAACCGTGGACAAGCCTTCAGAATGATCGATCGAATGTTGCTTCATCTATCACGTTCATCGAAAAGCGATTGGCACGTGACCGTTCACACAATCTTGAGGCATGAAATCGATCAGCTCACGGCTTCCAACTATCATCGGTGCAAATTAATCTGAATGGAGAGTTGCTGTGATCAACAGCGTACATAAGTACGACACACGGGGTTGCACTACTTCCTCCTCCTCCAATCCTCTGTCTCAATCCATCCGTCTCCATGCCTGCTGCGTGATTTCTGTACTCAAGTCACATGTGGTGTCAGAGGTGAGATATGTAACATCGAAAACAATAGCAGCCAACCCGTGTGGTACGTCCTCTTATTCTCGCCGAACGGGCCCAGCTTTGCCGACCGAATGTTTTCTCTCCGGGGGACGACTATGAGTTGTGCGGAGATACGCATGAGGAATTATTTACGCATGCAGCCGACGATGAAGTTGCAGTTGTTCATTATGGGACATTTTTCTGACAATGCAGCAAGGCGATTCCTCATTTGTCGCCTACATCCTAAGCCACCGACCCTGAAAGTGTACGGAGCCACTGAAGAAGACTATTTAGAGATACCTGTGGTGATCCTGGCCCTAAGTGATGACGCATACCCTGGAGCGACACGTTACAGTTTTAGGACAACTGTGATCAAGCAAGCTACCCAGGTGACGTCAGCAACGTGTGTAAGTATAAGAGCTTCTGCACTATATATCACAGATCGATTGTACCGGCCAATCAGAAACCATGCGGCACAGACAGAAATTGAACAACGCCAGAAATACTAGAACGCGATCGGCCGAGGCTTGGATGACCAAGGAGCTTTTTTTGTACAGATTATTTAATTCCCCTCACTTCTCTCAATAAACGAACTACTACTCCTGTGACCTTTTCCCTCACATTTGAGTTACGTGGGATATTGTGTGCAACTGCCAGTGTGATCCAGTGTGTACCGGACTGGCCTCCAGTGGTTGAGGGACTCGTAGACACGAACCCCAACCAAGTCCAATTCCAGATAACGAGAAATCGGTAATACACGTGTACTATAAGCAGGCAAATATGTACAAAAACAAGCACTATATCGCAAATTGTGAGCCAATCCAGTCTTCACGATACAAGAACAAGATACAAAGCCGTTCAAGGCGCAGAACAAAGCACATGCGGAGCGGTCACCAAAAGGAACGCAAACTATGCACAGAAGCGGGACAATTTAAGGGATAAAAACACCAATCGCAAGTGCTCGATAATGAAGCACAGTCCTTTGTCCATGCAAGGCACACAAACGGTTCACGGGATCCTACGAAACAAAGCAGCCTGCTTAGCAAGTGAGGCGAATGAACAAATATGAAGGTCAACATAAAGAAGACGGGATGACAATGAACTAGAACCAAACGAGTATGGGGGAACGGGTGTGGGGGAACGGATCCAGGGTAGTTCGTATGTAATGACTTACGAGAATGGCAAGTATGGAACAGCGAGAGTTCTAGGACGATAAGGGTAGATGACGCACAAACGAGTGGGGCGAGGAACGCCTAGAAGTGATATGTGAACAATAACAATAAAATACAAAGTATGTCGTCGGACCAAACCGGGGCATGATGATAGGCAAAGAACATTCGAAGGTGATCTGTGTAATGGGTCACATGGGTGCACAGTTAATTGAACCGAACCGGAGCAAAAAACAATGCGTGATTAATCTTTCCAATTAAGTCAATACACCCACTTCTTCATCAACAAATTCTACGCAGGCGATTTCTTCAACATGACACTCATCAATTGATATCTGATGCTCAAAATATTCGATCAGATAGCATTTGTTGTCTGATATTTGCATTATTAACCGGTTCAGCTTGGGTTGGAACACAATTTCTATCAAAGCGTTGATCAGTAGTCGAGAATGCACAGTAAGCCAAGCTTTTTGATCAGGTGCATATCCATGAATGCCTATTTCGTCTTTTATGGTGGATTCTTCTTTGAACAAGGACAAAAGGTATTGTGGTGAATATTCCTGAAACGAATATTTGAATGACTCAACCACACTATGGTATACCGGTTGTAACACTGAAGAACGATTTGCAAACAGCCATGCTAATTTTTTAGTCAAGAATGCTGTGAGTTTGTTATGGCATGAAGCGATACCTGTAAACTGCTGGGCGTGTCTTCTTGACAACAGGAGAAACGTCATCGGCTGAATGCGACAATACATGCTGGTTGGTCAATGGCCAACGACCAGGACCTGCAACATTGCACAATCAGGACCTACTTTATTACTTATGCGATTGCTTTGGATTTGATAAAAGTGGGAAGATATTGGAAAACGGAATCTCTGATAGCTATGAAATAACGCTATATGTACATATATATTGTATATATGCTTCGATCACCAAGCGGTTTAAATCGTAGTTGACTCCTAGTGTATTGCCACCCAGCAAGGCGATATCATCGATATATTTTAAGTCAAGACTGCGCGTAATTCAAAGTGAAAATTCGAGGTGCATATGGCAAATGAAGCACGAACTGGAAAGCTACGAAGCGCTGGACAGCTGTTTCAACCTGGTTGGGTATCATCATCAATGTGAATTCATTGAAGCAACTGGGGATCGAACCCGGGACCGCATGGGCAGAAGGCAAGAATGCTACTCACGTGGCTACCGGGCAGCTGAGCAGACCATTTTTCATTTTCCATGTATGTATTTCTCGTTTGATTGATAATCAATGCAGCAACCGTTTAGCGGATCAGTATTGTTCTCTATTTGAGGATCAGTTTCGGGCTACTCGTTGTTCAGCGAACTCGTAGAAGCTATAGAGAACCAGTAGGAGCTGCTATGATCGTTCTGGAATAGATTACGGACAATGGAAGAAATTTCGTTTCTTACATTATTGTCCATTTTCCGAATCTAAGAGCCTCAAATCCCGTTGTTCTAATGAGGACCAACGCTATAGACTGAATGAAATCTCACTTGCAACTTATCACACAAGCGATATCTTTGATTATTCATAGCAAATAGACCATAAAGTCACAGAACTTATTTTTTCTTGCAACGAACAATCGTAGTTTAGCAGCTAACTATCAATTCGTGTTTCATTCACATTTAAATCCCACTTAATTAGGAGTGGTGTTCAATCCCCAAAAGCACCTATTCAAATTTATTTTACCACCAATCTAAACTGGTAAGTTCCAGAGATTTGCATAGAACGTTGCTTTTATCCTTCAGATCGCACAATTTTTAGGTAAATCCACGGTGATATTATTATTTCCACTATTAACCGTTCTCTTACAGCAGAGATACCAGACATTAACTCATGGACTCATTAGGAACTGATAGTCTGCATGGCCTTCTGGTAATAAGTGATATGCTGATTTGCAAAATAAATACGCGATTATTCATAAAGTGTGGTACTCCTTCAAACCGTGTCATAAATCTATCCCGAACTAGATGGTGTTCTCAAAAATGCCCTCGATTCTTGATTGTGGGTGGGCACAAACGTTATTCAATGTTTCGTTGTTAGTTACAACATTTCCGAAACACAGATTCACAGATGAATTGATAAATCTGATAGCTTTTTCTCGGTGATATCAAAATTTGTAAAATGTGACTCTAGATCACTTTGGAAAACATGATTTGTTTCTGACCGTCCACGTGATACTCAAGTCGACCTTCAAAATTTTGGATCAATACAGACTGATGGTCTTTCGTGGTACATTGATGTAGAAACAAATGGCACAACGCATGAGCATGTGCGGCTAAGGCATTCAAATTGTTACAAAAAACTAGTCACTTAGGGGACAACTATTAAGATCCGGATCTGTCATATCGCCTCAAACACACTCAAAACATTCACCGATTTGCAATGTGCTGGCACAGGATTTTTGGATGTACTGTTTGCTCTGGAAAACAAAACTGTATCATTCGTAATCAGCTAGTCCAATGCCGCCCGACCGAACTAACTTATCTCGAGAAAAGTGAAGAAGAAACTGTTCCCACAAGTGGATCTGGCATAGTGCCACCAGCTGTCAGTCCTCGGAACAGGATTAGCCCAATACACTGTTCAGTATCAGAAGAAAAATCTAATCGTAAGAACACCGGCGTGGCTCTGCTATTTTGTCCAATGGAAGAGGAAGTCCCAAATTATAGTCACAGTGGAGACTACGAATCGTTTCATCAATCATTTGGAGGTCCCAAAGAAGCTATGCCGGTGGAATTACTGAATGACGGTGTGGTCTGCAAACATACGGATCAAACGACCGGCGCGAATTCACGTCCCAGCACAGAAATAAATTGCCTTCTGACTTTCAACGATAACCCGGGGCATCAACTGGCCAGTATGAACCAAGTTGGGGATTTCCCAAGTCAGTGCGATTCATGTGGTAGTTTGCTCACTCCAGATTCATACAACTCTGGCCGGCATACTCATGTGGCTCCCAGCATTCCTGACGTGAGTTCAACCATCGTTCCCGGTGATCAACCAGCTCCTACATCCACAACAGCTGGAATTCGTTGGACAGTGTATGAACAAGATAATGGTTACGCGGGAACGTTTGAGGAAAACGAACGATTTCGTCCACCCGTACCGACAAGGTTTTCTCTCCAACTGAGCTCAGAAGGATATCCACCACTGTATCGCTCCGAATCGTTTTATGGGGAAGATGCTCGAGCTGGATACACATCCACAACGCACGAAATTCGTTGGACTCAGGTGGAACAGGAACCAACTCAAAGTTCAGACAAATACCAAAGTCTAACTTTGCCTCTACCGGTCTGTCTTAACATTATTCCTCCCAAATGGGTTGAACCACATTGCTGCTCATTACAACCAAACAGTTACGATAATTCCCAGACTGAATCAGCTATTCCCACTTTTCCCGATCCGTTCCGGATGATGGATGGAAAATGTCTACATACGCAGGAACTTCAACCGGAGAGAATTCCAGATCCATTCAGCCTAACTAGTCCCATTCGCTCGCCAACGGAACGAACATCCACACTGAATGATCCGTACGTGCTTCTGGTCACCGATGAGGCACCGTATGCAACTCAAACGCTAAACGAGTTCACTTGGCATGGTGAACACTCGAACCAAGTCACACTTCGACATAGCTCAATGCTTGTCGATCCGGTCGGCTATCCTCGACAGGGATCCACGAGCATGCTAGTCCAGTACTCCCCTATTCATCTACCGGCTTCTATCTGTCCAGCTTCACCCTCTTCCAGTCTGTCTGAATACAAATTTCGTTGTGGTCGATGTGAAGCACTAGCCGTGCAGAGGCAAATGATCAAACACAAGTACACACAAACAACGAAAAAGTCACCAACTAATATCACATGCTTGCCGAATGTGACGTTAAATTTTGTCCTCATTTCGCCCCCGATTGGCAGTGAACCACCACCGGTCAGTCTTCGTTGGGGATTGGCTCATGAATTCCGCGAAATAAGTTGGAATTCACACATTTCCAGACATTCATTCGATCAGCCCATGAAAAAGGATGCCAAACTTAAGCTGTGTGCCTCTGTGTTTGACAGCGATCTCAAACGCACCGCCCTGATTGGATCAGAACGTCTGGCTCCCCTTCGTATTCGGCAACCACCTTTACCACAGCCGGTAAAATTTGTACCATTTGAGCGTTTACGTCCACCGGTCTCGTCTACAAACTCCAAACCGATGAAAGGTATGAAAGTTGCTGAAATAAGTCGCATTGATGTGAATGAATTAGAAGAGATCAGTTTAAACAATCTGAGTACAGGAAACTCGGGTGAAAGCCGATCCGTGTCTGGAGCTCGAGGTGTTTTAAATTGCACTTATGTGGAGGTTCTTATTCGTCGAAATCTGGATTGTGTGGCTTCTCCAGCTTGTTTAAACAATTCCGAATCTCGTATGATTTTTAATTTATTAGACCGAAAGTTACAGAGTGCCATAGCTATGCAATTTCTTGCTTGCATTGACAAAACCCGAAAGAAAGCCTTACTCAATAACGAATCTATGGGGTCATGCATTCCTGAGGGTGGTGACTCGGAGGTTGTTATCAACAGAAAAGCAATCTTGACGGACGAGGTCCCGGATTCCGGCATCCCGGGTAAGCTCGTTGATCCGCAGAAAACGATCCAATTGCCTAAATGCCATTCCACCTTAGGAATTTGTCGTAAGAGAGCATGCAGTGGTGCTTATGTGTTTACCCAGGGACCGCGCCATGTGAAACCACCGAGGCAATGGATGGATCATGTGCGTCCCGAGGCAACATGCTCTGAGTTTCAGAAGGTTGCCGCATGGAAGTTAGAACCAAGCGGAATAGTGCTCGGCGGGCTCATCAATCATGATTACCATCTGCAAATTGTTGTCAGTTCCAATGATGGCCGACTCGGTGCAATCTTTTTACAAGCGGATGCACTAATGTCGGAAATGTGTAAAAAAGGAGCCATGTATACCAGGAAGAAATGCAGAATTTTCGATCCCAGAAATCAACGAGAGAACGGTCTATTCGGAGACTCGATTCGAATGTTTTTCAGGTGCCCGGAAATAGCCCGACTTTTGTCTTGCGATGTGGAAGATATGTCAGTCGCACTGGGACTTGAGGAGTTGGGTTTGAGTGTGTTTGCTGTTCCGAAAAAAAATACATTCAGTGGTCGTCAGAAGTGGGAAAATGTTGTCATGTTCACTAGGGATGGTCGTTCCTCGAACGGTCGCAATCGTTTAAGACAAGTGGTTGCTGGAGTAAAACAGTTACGAATGGTCGCAATGGAATTGGCCAAATCAAGAAGTAATTCGAACAAGCGAGATATACAACCAGTTGAAGGTGTGGAGTATTTGTTTCAACGAACAATGTCCAGTCCAAAGCAACTATTGAATTACACAAAACTATATTTGACAAAAGGTATGATTGAGAAACTAAAAGACCGGTCTACAATATACGAGGGGAGTTTGGCACACTGCATTCGAACGACAGCCTATTGTCCCACCTACCTGTATCCACGCGCTTCGGATCCGGATGCCTATCAGCTATACGGGTGTTTATTTGATCCGATTCTGAAAGCCATAAATTGCAAATCCCGATCAAAACTTCAACAGACTCCGGACTATCAGCTACCTGGCTCGTTACATGCCAAACTGATTCTACCCAATGTGATCAGCTATCGCGTCAGATTTGTACGTAATGTGGCCGGTTACGGATTCCCTGCTGTCATGTCCCTAAATGACTATCTCATGATAGAGAAAATGTGCAAGGAAGTGTTACTGCAGTGGACAGAAGAGGGACCCGGTACCTGGTATCCACTGGCTGATTTTCAAGAACAACATCCGGGTTTGTATAGTTCTTTGTTGAAGAAAAACCTCCTGGTCCCTCGCAAATCAGCAGCGCGAAAAGTGAGCGGTGTCTGTCGATTCTGGCCGGAAGGACGAGCTATTTACATTGCTCCAAACATTTGCCGCGATTGTGATTTGGTGGTTCAGATTAACGGCGATGATCATTTGAAGGTCATTTGCGTGGACTGGACAGGTAAACAACCAAATTTGGCCTACGCTCGAGCGAGTAAACTAATGCACTGGCTTGACACCCGGATATGTTTTAGCCGAAATAGTCGATGGGGTTTCTTGAGCCCCGTCCCCGAGAATGTCGGTACCGGGATGCAGTTCAGTGCGCTTGTGAAATTCCCGAATGCAACAAAAGATCCCGAACTGTTTGATCGTGTTTGCACAAAGTTCCAGCTACAAGTACGCACAAACTGTTCCAAAGGATTGAGCGTTCTTCACAATGTGTTCGAAATCGCTCTCCAGTCAACTTTCGGCCGAACTGAGGCCGAATTGGCAGTCAATTTCTTACAAGGACTAACACGAATCTGCCATCTTTATGTGAAACAATCGGCTTGAACAGAGATCGCAATTATTAGGCTGTGATTGCCATTTTAGCGGTGGAAAGGGGTGGTGGTGGTGGGTGGGTTTACTTTCGGTCACGATACCGTTTTCGTGAGAATCTTTTTGCTTCGAAACCGGTTTTCTGAATATCTTCGTTCGGTTTCATTGCTCGAGCGGACGCGTCCAAAATGTGTTCTTCTACCACTAACAAACCATGCTTTCTGGTTTGTGAATAAAATGTGGCTCACATTATTCCCTTTGCCATTGTTTTAGTTTTGTGTTTCAAGTGAATCAAACTGCACTGCTCCGCTCCGGTTTCGATTACTCACCTCTGGCCACCGATCTAATAAACTAATGAGGGAAATAATGGAACTGTGTAACCAGAATATGCATGGTTACAGAATATGATATGGAGGAACAAACTGCCCTGTTTGATCGATGGGTTTCGGTTTCGGTCTTTTTAACACCCATTAAGACGGAGGAGTTAGGTAAAAGAATTAGAAAATCGAGGGCAATACCAGCGGTGAAGATACGGAGTGCACGTTAACCAAATTTGTACAGAAATTGAGCAGATGCACGCGTGCTATAGGTAATCGTTGTTGACCATCAATCCGCAAGTAAGAAATACTACTACTGGTCACTGTCGTTTGATTTATGAGATATACGGAAGAGAGTCGTTTAATAGTCTGGTCACAAGTATTGCGATGCTTGCCAATAATGAAACCTATAACATCTTCACGGAGTACGCAACAGTATGTAACAGATCCGGCTATTATGTTATTCTCTTTTACTTTCGTTTACTGAGCGCACGGCTTTACAGACACTTTCTCAGGGGTAAAAAGAAGAACTCAAAGATCAACCAAGGGGTACAAAGAAAACGGAACAAGTTGGTTGAGAAGTTGGCGAGCCTCGAACTTACCATGTTTGTTCCGGTGTGACAGTAATCGATATCACTTGATCACGGCCGCCCGAGAAGTCGAGGGACCATGTGAACACAGTGTAATGTTCGTTTTTCGAAATACAAAAATGTGAGAGATCAAGTTAGTGGTAACAGATTAGGGTGAGCAAATTGAGAGAAATTGGGCGTTTTTAGTCTGTAGTTGTGAAAATGACATCTTACGAGTGTCGAAAAAGGTAATTTCAGCATACAAGTCAAGTCAAGCAAAGATTTATGTACCAAATTGAATGAATTTTCAGCAATTTTGATAAGTTACAGTGACTAAAACGTTAGGCATTGGAAAAAGAAGAAATATATGTTTCCTAGATGAAAAACAAATGGATGTGATAAATTCTTAATGTGATAGATAGTTGTTCAAGTCAGTAACAATATTTGCTCGGTTGACCAAGATACGAGCAAAATAAGGGATGATGCTGTTTTTATATGTGGTGGTGTGTGCAAAATAAATCCTAAATTTGGAACGCGTACTCGGATGAGACACCCATTTATTGAGATGGGCGTGCAGGCAGTGTTCCTCATTTGACAGTATGTGGCTGATAAATCTATTGCATGAATCAAAATGCTTGCGCACAATAAAAATTAAATAAAACGATCTTTGCAACGGGCGAAGAAGTTTAAGAGATCTGGAAGAGACTAGAAAAATATACGGGGAAACAGTACAACCAATGCGGAACAGCGAAGCAGTCAACAATTTAAGAATTACATTTAGGGGAACGCCGAGTCTCCTAAGCCCAAAAGCGTAGAAGTATAGCCTAGGAATCCTAATATAAATATTTTCAACATTTTTGGACCAAGAAAGATTATGTGATAAAGTTACCTCAAGGTATTTCACCCAGTTAGCTTTGGGGATGGTATTACCGGTAACAGAAATTTCAGATCGGTTACTCAAAAGTGTTTGATAATGCGTGCCTGTTTTAAGGCCGAAAGAAACATCTAAACATGTATCTACATTGAGCATTAAAGATCTGGGTGTCGGCCAACTAAGCATTTTATTTAGACAAACTTGAAGTTGAAAGAAACAATCAAGATCAGTTGAGGAACAACCGAACACTGAGTCATCAGCATACAACGAAGTTTCCAATCTCTCCCTTGAGCTTGAAGTCCAAACGACGTTCGTTGATCATCCTAAGTTTTACTTGTAAATGCGATTTTCGCTCCTCCAATGGACAAAGATCTTCTACTCCGAGTATATTGTCAAAGTACATCCGCTTGCGCGGGATGGTGCATATTTTTGACTCAGTGTGTTGTGTTTAGCCAGTTTATGTATCAACGAGCTTGCTTTCAAACTTGTGTTATCATGTCATATAGTATGTCTCGTTAGGGGATTAGTGTGTGCATATCTATGATAAATCTGAACTCAGAGATCCTTCGAAGACAATTGGAGTTCCACGTGCTTCTTTGATGGACGCAATAACTCCTCAATTGGTAGTGGGGAAAATCGCCAGTCAATAGTGGGGCA